GCTGTTTTCTCCATGGCAAGCATACGTTGCTTCTTGAGATCGCCTCGAACGATATCTGTTCCAGGAATCAAAATAGTGCAACAGATGGCGATTCTGATGGGTTGCGCGGTGTTGCCGCATTTGCGGTCGCTGGTTGAAATTGTTGAGACTGGACTCGTCGACGACCAACAAAAAGTGAGCTGTTAAGATGTGCAACATAATAGATCCTTGTAGTCTGTTATCTTGGCGTTTTTCGTCTTCGATGCACCTGGCAGCAGTGAGCTCACTCCGTTCTGACGACATTCCTCCACAACGCTGTTGGCCGTTGTCCAGCATCATTTTGTGGATCCGTTTTTGCCGATTTTCTGTCTCTCAGTGTCTTTGTTTTCACCACATTTGAGGGACAAAATTTTCTTTTAGGTACGGACAATCACAGCTTTGTGTTTGGCAGCACTTGCTGAAGCAGCTACACCGTATGGTATCGAGGCATTTGACTCAGTGCTGAAGCCGCTCTGGAAAGGTATACGCTCGCATCGTGGAAAAGTAAGAATGCCTTGCTTTGAAAATATGGATCCCGTGCGCGCTTTCGGAAGGATTTTTATTGTACTAATTAAATTTAGGGTCTTGCTGCATTCCTGAAAGCGATTGGTTTTCTCATTCCGCTTATGGACGCCGAATATGCCTCATATTATACACGTGAAGTGATGCTGATACTGATCCGAGAGTTTGCTTCGCCTGATGAAGAAATGAAGAAAATCGTTTTGAAGGTTGGGTCATGTGTTTTAATTTCTAAGTTGTGTTTCCGGCACTGCTTGTATATTTCGGTGAGCAGCTGATAACTTTTTGGATTGCTTTGACCAGTGCTGCACCTCCTTGTGATCAGCCATCTAATGCCCCGTTTGTGTCTTGAAGGGATTACCAGCTTAACGATTCCCCTGACAGAAGCACATAGCAGTGCATTAACCCTTGATTTGGGCTTAGCATCACCGCTTCTCCTAAATCATAGTAAATTACTTTACCAGTTAGGGGTTCCCTAGAGCTTCTCTGACAAATTCAATTCGGTCTTGATTTTGGACGTATGAGAACACTCTGTTTCTGTCTCATTTCCCCTCAGATCATATACCTTGTAACACATTTCCATCATAATTGGGGTGCATCATCTTCTTAAATTTCCTCGAATTACTTTTTTTTGTCGTCAGAAAAACAGCTAAAATTCTTTTGTTTTTCCTGTATTTATGTCCAACAC